GAGGAGGAGGAGGAGAAAGAGGAGGAGGAGGAGGCGGAGGAGGAGAAGGATGAGGAGGAGCAGGGGGAGGGGAGGGGGAAGGGGAGGAGAAGGAGGCGGGTGAGGACCTCCCCATCCTCCCTTCTCCCCCGTCCTACCCATGGCAGCGGTGGTGGACCATCGAGCCATCATGAAAAGTGCAGCACGGAGGCTCCTGCTCGTCGCCTTCGGCCACTGGGGGCCCACGCCAGGCCCCCCAGGGCCTTCCACATAGGACGGCTTTTGGGGCACACAGGACGGCTTTTTTGGGCCCCCCCCAAAACGGTCCCGGGGACTTGCGGGAGCCCCACAGCGCGATCCTCAAGAGCAGGACGTCGGATGTCCAGGCCTGTGCCTCTCCGCCTTCGCTCCGGCTCGAGCTCTCGGGGCCGCTTTGGGCGAGCCGCGCGGCCCGCGCATATCGCGCGCCGCCGTGCCCCCGAGCAGCTCTCTGCTCTTTTCCGCTCTGTTCGCAGGAATGTCCCACGGCGCGGCCGCCCTGCTGGTGGACTGGGCCAGAGGCTCGGGCCAGACGGGAGAGGGTCGGGGGCGGCCAAGAGGGGGGTGATGACTAGGGGGGGTGGATCTCATGGCGGGACCCATGAAATCTCCCCAGATATCATGGCGCCTCTTCTTATCTGGTGCCACCGACCCTGGAGGCCTGGGCTTTCGACGAGAATGGGTGCGCTGTGGATGGCTGCTTGGGCCGTTGGGGGGCGCTTTGGGAGTCCTTTTTGGGTCTCCGGGGGCGATTCGTGGTGGCCTGAGGGCTTTCTAGGAGGCGTACTGGGATGTTTCAGGCCCCTCCCCGGCTTTTGTGACTGGACGTTTGAGGAGGAGAGCCCAAGGAGGGAACAGACCTGGGACCCCCCCCTCCCGGCGGGGAAGAGATCCAAGGGAAGGAGCTTCCCTTCGACTCAACTACGACGTTGTTCAATTTCGTTGATACTGGCGCGCTTGCGGAGGAGAGCCCAGGGAGGGCTCATGGAAAGGAAAGGAGCGGCGACGGTTGGATTGATCGTTCGGCGATTCGGGGCCCTCGAAGACGAAGACGACGAACGGAAGAGCATCCTCCACGCCGACAGGGTCGGCGGACTTCATTATGTCCCCGGCCCCCCCCCCTGGCAGCGCACATGCCGCCGGTCATGATTTGCGCCCCCCCCCTCTTGGACGCCCCCCTCTTGGCCGCCCCTGAGAGGGGGGGGGGTCGGTGGTTCAAAAGATGGGATCCTCGAGGGACGGGGTCCTCAGGGCGAGAGAGGTACCTCAGACAGTGCATGCAGTTCAATCTTGGATTCCTCCTAGCCTTCGGCCCCCATCCATCCGGACTCCATCTTTGAACCGCCGAGGATGGGGATTCCCCCACGGACGATTTGTGTGCGTCCACTGGCGCCCTCAAGCGCAGGGAGGCGCCGGGAAAAGCAGCTGCGTGAGCGAGAAACCGCTACCCCCGTTTCGGTACGGTGGAAATGGGTACGGAAAGAGTCCTGCCCATTCTGAGCAGGACTCGCTTTCGGCTCCGCCGAGGACGTTTCTCCAATCCTAGACAGGAAGTCGGCTGTCCAACAGCGGCGGCTGATGGTTTTCGGCAGTCTGTGCTGTGGAGCACCGTGCCCGGCTTCTCCGTATCCATTTCGGGTCGGGAGCCTTGAGACGGGGGTCAATGCAAACGGGGGTCAGCCAGAGCGCCTGGTCTTGCAGGAGCCTGCAGGGCCAGGGTTGCACCGGCCCGGGCTCGGGTGCAGGATCCCGGAGGAGCCTGCAGGATCCTCAGCACCGAACCGGGCTTGGGCGCATGATCTTGCAGGACCTTGCAGGATAAGCAAAACAATTTAATTTTCGCAAACAAATAAGGCAACCACAACAACAACAACAACATGCATTTTTACATGTTTGCCCAACTGTTCACTAGTTTTGCCACATGGTAACACCTTGCACAAAATTCTTTGTAACACCGGGTCAGACGACCCCCGCTCGGGCGTGCCAGCCGTGTCTTGCCCCCCCCCCTCCTCCTCCTCCTCCTCCTCCTCCTCCTCCTCCTCCTCCTCCTCCTCCTCCTCCTCCTCCTCCTCCTCCTCCCCCTCCTCCTCCCCCCCCGTCGGCCCTGCCCGAGAGGCGGCGCGCCGATCTCGATCCGGCGGCCGTGGGAGGTGTGGAGGGACAGCCTCCGCGAGCCGGGCCGCCCACTGGCGTCGTGCTGCGGCTGCCAGGACGGGGAGGAGGAGGAGGAGGGGGAGGAGGAGGAGGAGGAGGAGGAGGAGGAGGAGGAGGAGGAGGAGGAGGAGGAGGAGGAGGAGGTGAGGGGGGTGATGACCAGGGGGGGGTGGATAATCATGGCGGGGGCCATGGTATCTCCTCGGATTTCACGGCGCCTCTTCTCACTTCGGTGCGTCCCCGGCCCCCCCCACCCCCCCCCCCCCCCCCCCTGGGCCGCGCACATGCCGCTGGCCATGTTTTGCGCCCCCCCCCTCCTGGACGCCCCCCTCTTGGCCGCCCCCGAATTTCGATGCGGCCGATGCTCGATTCGCTCGGACAGCCTGGTGCGCTGCGATGTCGCTGTCGCCTGCGATCCCATGCGGCCCGATGCTCGCAAGGAGCTGTGGCACATCCTGGCGTCAGGTCCGGTTTGGTTCGGTTCCGACTCCGTGCCGATGCGGCCCGAGTGGATGCGTGTTCCGATCCGAGTCGATTTTCCGAGTCCATGTTGATTGGTCTTGCCATGATCACCATCATGACGACACCGACGACGGCGACGTCTTAGTTTCGGATTGTTTTTTGTCGGCTTCGCTAGACGTAGTCGTCGCCACTGCTGGACGCAGCCCGAATGGAGCCCGGGAGTGGCCCAGGAATCGGCACTGCTAGCCAGAACGGACCTTGCGTGGTCTGGAGAGCGACTCTGACCGGACACGCGGTGATCGGCAAGGAGAGGGTCCTGCGGGAAAGGGCCCCAGAGGTTTTTGCTGCAGCCTTCGGCCTCCCGAGCCCCCGCGGCCCTCAAAGAAGCGACTCGGGATGCACAGCCGTTCGTGGGGACAGCAGCAGGGCACGGGACCCCTGTACACCTTAGGCGATGCTTAAGAAAACCTAAGTTTTCGTCCAGAGTCTCGATTATTCTTAACTTTTCAATATAAATCCTAAGATTTTGATAGAAGTTCTGGGTTTTATTCCATTTCTGAGACTATGAATTTCTTAACCCATGATTTCTTAAGCATTTCGCAGGGTGTACACCGCAGGACCCCTGCCACTCCTGCCAGCAGGATCCAGGCCGCTCCAATGGGCCAATGGGGGTCGGAGCATTTTGGTTGCGGAGGATCGCGATGCATCGGCGATGCATCCTCGATGCAGCTCGATGCGGAACCCTGTTTGCCCCATCCTGACGCCGCAATGGATCGCCGACGCACCTGCGATGCAGTGCGATCCTCCGACCCCATATGCTCCGACCCCACTGGGGCGACCTCCATAGGCCAGCCACGCGCAGAGGGGGTTCGGGGGAGGGGGAAGGCTTCTTAGAAGCACCCCTGCTTCTCAGAAGGCGCGGGCCTTGCCTGCAGATGTAATGCCGGCGCATTCGAAGAGCCAGCCTCCTTCTAAGAGGCCTTCCCCCTCCCCTGCCCCCTTGTGCGCGCCGCCAGATAGGAGCAGCTCCAGTCGACGTTCTACGCCCTGGACCCCGCCGAGCAGGAGGAGTGGTGGGCCTGTTTTCCACCACCACCATCATAAGTTGGAGGGGGGAAGGAGGAGGAGGGCGAGGAGGAGGAGGAAGCGGAGGAGGAGGAGGAGGAGGAGGAGGAGGAGGAGGAGGAGGAGGCGGAGGAGGAGGAGGAGGGGGAGGAGGACCCCCTCCCCCTCCAATTTATGGTGGTGGTGGTGGTGGTGGTGGTGGAAAACAGGCCCCTCGAGGAGTGCACGGAGGTCTCCGGCGCCGAGCTCTCGGCGTTCCTCGCCTGGCTGGTGGCGCAGGCGCCCGTGGGCACCTCGGCGGCCGCCGCCGTCGGGGAGGCGCGGGGGCGCCCGGGCCTGTGGGCCGAGGTGGAGAAGGCGTGGGACCGGCTGGGCGCCGAGGATCGAGGGCAAGGCCACCCCATTGGCCCCACCCCTGGCTTCAAAGAGGAAGGAGAAGAAGAAGAAGGAGAAGCAGAAGAAGAAGAAGAAGAAGACACCCCCCAACCATCTACTTTTCGCGCTCCGCGCGGATTTCTTGGATCCGCGCTGGGCCCCCCCCCCCGGGCGGCGCCTCCGGCGCCGCCCCTGGCGCGCTCCGCGTGCTAGGGAGGGGGGCCCACCGCAGATCCAAGAAATCCTCGCGGAGCGCGAAACGTTTCTGTTTGTGGCGTTGTTTTTTCTTCTATGGTTGCGCGAGTCTAGGCCTCCGATGTGGGGTCGCAGTAGATGGGGTCGGAGCATCGCGCCGCATCGCCGATGCGTCGCCGATGCGGCTCGATGCGCAGCCCGATTTGCTTCCCGCCGACGTCGCCGATGCCTTGTCGACGTCGACGATGCATCGCCGGTGCATCGCCGATGCATTGCAGGTGCATAGCTGATGCCACGCCGCGGAGCGCGATGCGCGAAGTTCGCTGACTTAGGGTTGATACAGTGGAGACCCATGCCAAGAAACACCCTGCTTGCTTCCAGGGTCTCCCAGGTTTCCTGGGTTTCCATGGTTTTTTGCTGTGGAAAGCGCGACGCTCTCACACCAGAAATCAGGGGACGTCCCGGGGTCTCAGGGTTGGGTTCTTGCGGAAGTTTTCTTGTGGACTGGCCTCCACAGCACACTCAGGTGAGAACTCTTCCACCTCTTGAGTGGCCGCCCGCTCTGCCCTCCCACTCTCTTGCATGCTGGCCAAAAATTCGCTCCTCGGTGCCCCCGTCTAGCTCGATCGCTGGTGCAGCCAGCTTCAGGGCACGACCTAAACTGTGTTTTGGCGATCTCGTGGGCCGCTTTCGTTTTGATTTCGTTCTGCAGCAGAGGCGGAACGACGACAGAACGAGAGAAAACGAACACATGACGATACCGGAAACGGAAAGCACTGTTTAGGTCGAGCCCTGGCCAGCTCTGCCTCGCCGCCGACGGAAAACGTGGACCGGCCTCCACCACACAACCGACACAGAGGTCCGCGCGGGCGTCCCGAAGTCGGCGCCGCACCGCCCTCTCTCTCTCCTTGGCGCGCGGAGCGCGCCGGGAGACCGGCGCCGGAGGCACCGCCAGGGGAGTCCACCGCCGATCCCAGGTGTTTTTGAATTCAAAAAAACGAGTCTTTAATTCCAGAAATGGGTTTGGGATCAACAAATGATAGGTTTTTGACTTCAGAAGCAGGTTTTTGAATTCAAAAAACAGGTTATTGAATTCAATGACGTGCGCGGGGGCCTCCGAAACCCGATGAGTCTCGGGGAAACGTGAGGCGCGAGCGAGCCAGAGCTCGGGGTTGCCAAAGTTGTTTGACGAGCACGTCCTGGATCTGGACGGTCCGTTTTTCGTGGGATGTTTGCAGCCGGAGTTCGCGCCAAATGTCAGGCTGGGTCTCGTCATTTTCATGATGGCCCCGTCAGGCCAAGCCGAGTCCCCCGTACCCGAGTCATACGTCTCCCCGATTGCCCATCCCTCGTGGAAAGTATCTGTTCTTGGAGTCGCAGATGCTACTTTAGGCACCTTCCTATCTCAATCGTTGAACGGTTCATTCTTTCCCTTCCTCTTCTCCAGGTGCGGGCGGAAGTCCGATCTACCCTCACCTCCTTCCCATTCTCATTGCGTGCTTCTGCCCACCTCTTCCCAAAGATGTGTCTATGCGCCGGTCTCTCTCCTCCCCATAGGATCGGCGTCACCCAAACATACTTATACTATATGTGCGTCGCCCCCCCAGGGGCGACGCGCGCACCGAGAAATCTTACAGCATATGCGTTGTGGCGTGCCCCTTCTGGCCCACACCCTTCGGGAAACGATGGACTACAAGATGGGTATACTAGATGTTCGGGTCGGACGCGCGCCTCCGAGGAGGACATCTAGTACTGGTATGTCTCTGTGCGTCCCATAGGAGAAGGCCGACTGGGTGCCCGCCGACCACCGCGCCACCCTCGCGGACGCTCGCGGCGCCTTCGCCGGCCCAGGCGGTCCGCCCTGCCGGAGCCGCGCGGGGGGCTCGCCGCCGCGGGCCGGCACGAGCGGCGCGCCGCCCGCGGAGACGCCGCCGAGGAGGAGATCTCACGGCGCTTCGCGCGCAGCCCGGCGCGAGGGCCGAGAGCTTGGAAGGTTTCTCCGAAGGGCTTAGGCGACCCGCTCTCCTCCTCCTCCTCCTCCTCCTCCTCCTCCTCCTCCTCCTCCTCCTCATCATCATCATCATCATCATCATCATCATCCTTTCCCGTCCTCCTCTCCGCTCCTCCTTTCCCCTCCTCCTCCTCCTCCTCCTCCTCCTCCTCCTTTCCTCCTCCTCCTCCTCCTCCTCTCCTCCTCCTCCTCCTCCTCCTCCTCCTCCTCCTTCTCCTCCTCCTCCTCCTCCTCCTCCCTCCTGCTCCTCCTCCTCCTCCTCCTCCTCCTCCTCCTCCTCCTCTCCCTCCTCCCTCCTCCTCTCCTCCTCCTCCTCCTCCTCCTCCTCCTCCTCCTCCTCCTCCTCCTCCTCCTCCTCCTCCTCCTCCTCGGGTCGCCTCGGGCCCCCGGGGAAACCGTGCACCCCAGCCATGGAGGGGTATGCCCTCGTGTGTTGTCTTGCTCCGTTGGCGCATCGCCAGGGGCCGTGGGCCTTCGGCAGAGGAGCTCGTATACAGCAGGAGCTTGGCCACGAGAAGCCTTCCACACGGCGCCCAATCTGGAGGGTTTCTCCGAAGGGCTTAGGCGGCCCGTCCTCCCTTCTTCTTCTTCTTCTTCTCATCCTCCTCCTTCTTCCTCCACCTCCTCCACCTCCTCCTCGTCCTCCTCCTCCTCCTCCTCCTTCTCCCCCTCCCCATCCTCCTCCACCTCCTCCTCCTCCTCCTCGGGTCGCCTACGGCCCCGGGGGAAACCGTGCAGCCCAACCCTGAGGCCCCAGGACGTCCGTTGATTTTTGGTGTGGGGACGTCGCGCTTCTCATGGCAGAACCACGGAAACTCGGAAGCCCAGGGCACCCTGCAGGCAGGCAGGGTGTTTCTTGGCATGAGGTTCCATTGTATTCTTGGCGCGCGCTCTTGCGGCCATGTGCCGGCTGTGTGCACCACGCGGGGGCCCAGGAGGGAGGGTCTCGCTCTGCTCTTGCTGCTGCAGCTGCTCCTCCTCGCCTCCTCTCCCTCCTCCCCCCTTCGTCTTTCCTGCTTTCCTCCTCCTCCTCCTCCCCCTCTTCTTCCTCCTTCTCCTCATCCTCCTCCTCCCCCTCCCCCTCCCCCTCCTCCTCTTCTCCTCCCCTCTCCTCCTCCTCCTCCTCCTCCTCCTCCTCCTCCTCCTCCTCCTCCTCCTCCTCCTCCTCCTAAACTAACTAAACACACATCGGGGGCAACAGAACCAGTCTCAAGGCTCTAGACACCGAATTCCGAGTTCCAGGCCGAAAAACTCAAAAACGTTATGTGCCCCTGTGACGTCGGGAACGAGGTCGGCGCGCGGCCGCGGGGGCCTGGCGGCGCCCCGCTCCGCTTGTGCGGCGACGGGGTCCGATACAGCCAGGGGGGCCCGCGACAAGCGACCGACGCTGACTGCATCCAGGCACCGCGGATCCCACCCACCCTCGGGCTGTTGGACGGAGCCACCAGGGCCAGAACCCGCCGAACAGCCTGGGGGTGTGGGGGACCCGCAGTGCGTCACGTCCGACTGTGGGCTCTCCTTCGGAGCGACCCCAGTCGGGCAACCCTGCTCTCAAGTGCCCTCCGAAGTTCTCTTCCACGCTCGCTGCCAGTCGCAGCGACCATCGCGGCCACACTAGCCGCCTGCTGTCTAAGGGCCGTCAGCTCAGCTTCAGCATCTGGCCCAGGTCCTTCTGCAGATCGCGCTCGAGCCTGGACCTTGGAGGCTGCCCGTCGGACCGAACCGCCCCCTCGGCCTCCAGCATGGTGAGGAGCGCCGTCCGCACGTCCCTGACGAAGATCGGCACCAGCGGCATGTCGGCCAGGCACCGCGGTCCCTCCGCGTCGCTCTCCATGATCTCCTCCTCGTTCGCCTTCTTCTTTCCCACGCCGTGCTTGCCCAGCCACTTGGAGTTCTCCAGCGGTAGCTGCACGTGCGGGTTGATGGCCATCGTCATCTTGCTGTACCCCGTCGTCTGCTCCTGCTCGTCGAACCTCGCGCGCTTGAGCCTGAACCCCTTGAAGATCTCGCCCGTGAGCGCTGGACTCTCCTCCAGCGCCGTGTTCATGAGGGACAGCACGCACTGCGCCAGCCTGACCTGCTGCCCGTTGCCCATGTCTGCGTTGGCCAGCTTGTTGATCACGCTCTTCGCGATCTGCACGTGCGGGCTGCCGAGCTCCTGTGGAGTGTACGCCTTGGACTCCACCGCCTCGTTGTACTCCTTGCCGCTCGCCTCCGCCGCCTCCACGGTGACGCTGTTCACTGGCACCAGGCGGAAGTCGAAGACTGCTCCCTCCAGGCCGCGCTGCCCCTGCATCGTGTTCAGCACCCCCTTCTGCAGCCTGATGACCATCGCGTCGGAGACCCCGCTGGAGTTGGCGGCGGCAAGCCCCGTGCCACCATCGGTCGCGGGCTTCTTCTTTTTCTTCCTGCCGCCCGCCTTCGCCTTCCCCGCGGGTGCCGCCCCCTCTGGTTGGGCCGCCTCTGGTGCCTTCCGCTCCTGCTCTCCGTCGTCCTCCTTCACCTGCTTCGCCGTCTTCGAGTCTGGGGCGGCCGCCTCGCTCGCCGCGTCCATGGTCGCCGAGCGCCCCCTCCTCGTCGCCAGGCCCTTCTGAATCCCCCCTGACAGGAACTGGATCGGCTTGACGGGCGGTACGCTGCTTGCGGCGCTTCCAGCTGCTCTCATCGCTCTCAACTGCAAGGGAAAGGCCAGTTGGGGCCCTCGTGATGTGAACGAATGTGTACTTGAAGCTCGAGCAAATGGACAAAGGAGCGCTCGCAGGCGGGGCATTGGAACCTGGGGGGCTCGATCGGCTCGTGATGCCAGGGCGAGTGGTCGACCATACACATTCTACGTACTCGCTTCGCTCCTCGCGATACCCATCCCCCTGCTACTCGAGAAGCGTGCTGCGTCGCCCCCTCCCTCGTAGGAAAGCAACTCAAGCACCAGGGACACTGATTTGTAACCACTAACCGTCGAAGTTCGTGCTGTGCCCCATGGACGATGCGACGATGAGTCTGGAGAGCAGCAAAGGAGTGTAATGTTTTGCCACACATAGTGTCGTCTACCGTCTCGTTGCAGCCAAATTCAGCAGGTGGGGGCGCGATCCGCTCGTCTTGAGCGGCCTCTGCCCCGTCCTCCCCCACTCTCGCGAGGCTGGGTGGGGGTATCTGCACGATGAAGGATGCCGCGCGCATAGCTCGCAAATCCAGCCTAACGAACTGGTCGTGCACGTCGCCCTCATAGAACAGGTCCAGCAACCCTCCAGGAGCCGACTCCAGCGTCTCCCACATGTCGTGGCAGTCCCCACTCACCTTGCCCATCTCCCTCAAGTCTTTCTCGAATTGTAGACACCACGGGGTAGAAGTTGAGATAGGCCATCCGCCCTCGCCCAGCCTGCGAATCCCCATCTCCTCCTCGAACGTACACTGCCCGAAGACCGCCGCAATCGCCTGCTCGTGGGCCTTGGGGTACTTCGCCATGCGCTGGTAGAACCGCAGCCTCCTCACCCTCAGCTCGACCTCTGGCTTGGCAAGCTCCCAGTAGTCCCACACCTTGGCGTTCGTGATGGTGCGTGCAGAGCCGCCGTCCATCCACTTGGTGAAGCGCCCTCCCATCAGTGACCGCAGAAGCTTTGTGAGGACTGTGGCGATCCGCTCGACCTGGCTCTGCGCGACGAGGAGCACGTGCAGCGCCGAGAGGGCGGTCTCGCATACGTAGCTAATGAACTGCAAGCGAGCGCACCGCTTCTGGATCTCGTGGCACCACGTCGAGCCCATGTTGTACCAGCCACGCTTCGCCGCCATCGCCCTGGCCTTGATCTCCTCGTGCACGGACAGGTCCGCAGCCACGATCGGTCCAAGTAGCCTGGCACACTTGGCCACCGTCCCCTTCAGATGCTGAGACGTTGCCACCCTCCTCGTCGCCGTGTTCGAACCATGGCCGCGTAGGTCAAGCGTGCTAACGGTTTTGTCCTCGTTTAAGCCTCCGCCCTGCTGGCCGATCGCCGTGTTGATCGCCCTGGTGGTGCGGTTGAGCCTGCGGACAATGTCGTTCCCAGTGGCGTGCTGGGGGATCGGGGTGGTGCGCGTCGCGTCGTCCACGAAAACCGCCGCCCCGATGTCGAAGGTAGCGTCGTCCCTGTCAGGGATCGCCGTCTCGAGCCAGGTGAAGCTCTCGTCCTGCTCCTTTAACTCGTCGAAGGCGCTGTCGACCGCGACCGAGTAGGTGGCCACGAAGCCCCACGGAATCAGGCTGCTGCCCATGGCGCCTCCCTCCTGCGGGGTGAACTCGAGCTCGCCATCAGGGGCCGAGACGGTGACGCATAGGTCGGAGAGGAGCTGTGCGAAGAAGGGCCTGTCAACGGCCTGCAGTCTGCCACCTGCGTGCGTGTTCCAGTGCTCCCAACGGATGGCATTGAAGGCCCCAGCCGCGTCCCAGTTCTGCTGCGAGACCGAGAAGTTGGCATCCCTGAGCCGCCAGCATGCCGACTGCAGCGTCAGCAGAGCATATTCCCTGCTGCGATGGGGTAGACTGCCGTGCGTTCACTCAGGCCAATCGCCAGGTAGTTGCCGTCGTCGAAGACCGCTGTGCCAGGCCTGAGAGAGATGATCATACAAGTGGATCACGCGCTGCCCCTTCAGGTTGGCACGCCCTTTGTTCTTGTCGAGACCGATGGCGCGAGTGCGCTTGCCTGATGGAGCGAACGCCTTCTTGATGCGCGTGTCTGTCAGCAGGTCCCATAGGCACTGGTCGAACTTCGTCATCTGTATGGGTGCCTTGTCCACGTAGCCGAGTCCCTTGCCCGTGCTGTCGATCCGCTCCATGGGCGCCAGGCATATAGCGAGCATCTCTGTGCAGCCGCCCCATTCGGGAAAAGGCTTTCCTCCTCGGCGCCCGACGGCAGTATTTTTTTATCGCCTTCAGATCATCGCGAACTTCATCATGTAGAGAGTTGTCGTGAACGCCGTCCCGCCACATGCCGTTGTCGCGCAGGTACTCGCCCCTCACGTTGGCCTTCGTCAGGTGCTGGTCCCAGGAGGTCGTCAGCGCGCGCATGCCGCCCGCAATTCCCTCCTTGGCCATCCCCTGCTTCCACTCCTCAGCGCCCAGCGTGCAGTTGGCAGCAATGTATGTACGCTTGCGGATGCCTTTCCCTCTGCCAGCGAGCCGCCCCCTTAGTGCGTGCACTCTGGAGAAGTCGCGGATCCGCCACGCCCCCCTCAGCTCCTCGATCCGCTCGTAGTACGTCTGGTCCGGATGGGCCTTGCGACGCGCCTTGCACTCGCCTGTCAGACGCCGTAGCCGCGCTTCTGCAACCATCACGTTGCGCTCGAGGTCGTGGTTGTGGTCTGAGTTAGCCCGTCCAGCCTGCAGGTCTGCAAGTTCGTGTGCCACGTGCGCCCGAGCTCGCAGAGCCTGAACCCTCTCTTCCACCAAATGCTCGTACTCCGTGCCCAGCCTCCTCGTGGACGGAAAGACCGAGAGCGTGGCGTCACGGATCGCCTTCGTGAAGAGCTGGTGTTTGGTCTCAGGGGTGGGGTCGGAGTCGGAGCGGTTCCACTCGGCATCAACGGCGCTCAGGTTGGACTCAACCTTCTCGCAGAACTCGTGCCTCCGCTCGCCCTTCGTCAAGCACCTCATGAGGGGGTCCCGATCCACCCTCGCCGTGGCGCCCCGCAGCGGCGAGTAGCTCAGCTCGTAAGTGATGTGGACCTCCATCGGGCAGTGGTCGCGAAGCTCAGCCGTCGGGAATGGTGAGAGCGTGCGCATCAAGTCGGGGCGCATCCTGATCATTGGCACGAGCCCCATAGCCGTGGACGGGACAAACACATGATCGATCCAGCTGGTCGACTCCGACCCGTAGTAGCTGGCGGGCAGGCGGAAGTGCGTGTTGGCCGCGGTAAGGTAGTTTGTAGCCGTCCACCATCGCAATTGTTCAACTTGTCTTGATCGCCGATGCCGTCCATGACGTCCAGCCACCTCGTCGATGTCATTGAAGCCCAGCTGCTCGTTGAAGTCCCCAGCGATCACCACCAGGTACCTGTTGCCCGCCTTCGCCACCTCGTCAGTGATCCAACCTAAGATGCGCTGCGTGGCCTCCGTGCGCTCCTCCTGGGTGCCAGACGGCGTGAGGTAAACCCCGAAGACCAGCATCGGAGTCCGCGCCGTCGCCAGCTTGAGACCTCCCGCCCGCCCAGTGATGCCAAGCTTCGGCGGCGGGCTGAGTACCTGGCGGACATGGTTGCGTCGGACGCGCCTGCCAATCATGATCGTGATGCCGCAACTCTTGTTAGTGAACCGTCCACGGCGCCAGCCCCAGCCGAAGGCCACGTGCCTCATCGTGCGGATGGCCGTGACGGGGATCGCGTCGTCCCTCTGGCGCTGCTGCGTGCCAGGCAGCACCACCACGTCGAAATTCTGCAGCGCCTCGCTCACGAGCTCCTCCCGCCAGGCAGGCAAGCTCTGCGGGTTGTAGAGGCCCAGCGCGAGCATCCAGACAGCGGCAGCCGCGCACGCCGCCACGAGCCTCGCGAGGGCCATGGCGCGGGGCGGCGCGGGGGCCTCAGAGGGCCAGCGTAGGGTCGGCGCCTCCCATCCCGCGGCGGCAGACGCCTCACGACCCCGACGAAATCCGAGGCCCGTTGGGGGCCGCCGTGGTCGCCCAGATCTTCCTCATTCGAGAGGAAGTGGCGACTCCTCCTCCTCCTCCTCCTCCTCCTCCTCCTCCTCCTCCTCCTCCTCCTCCTCCTCCTCCTCCTCCTCCTCCTCCTCCTCCCTCTCCCTCCCTCCTCTTCCTCGCCCTCCCTCTCCCTCCCTCGCCCTCGCCCTCCTCCATCTCCTCCTCTCGCTCTGTGCGTCATGCTCTTCCTGCCTCGTCTTCCTCCCCGTATCCTTCACATCCCTGTTCCCGTGCTTCAGCTCCGCCTCCTCTGGGCTCTCTCGCTGGGCCCTCTCGTGGGGCTCTCGTAGGGTCGGCCCCCGCGGAGTCCTCGCTGTTGGGCCCGGCTCCTCGCGCGCCCCGTGGCCCCAGAGAGGGGTCGGCGGACTGTCCGCGAAGACGCCGTCACCGCCGGGGCCGCTCTCGCCCCTCCCCTCCACGCCTCGACGCGGGGCGCCGGAGCCCGCGACGCCGCCGTCGCGGCGCCGGGTGCACTGCAAGACGCGCGCGAGCTGGACCGTGCTGCAGTGGCTCCGCGGGTCCCCGGGCGGGGTCCGCGCCGGCGCGGGGCGGCCCGGCCGCGGCGGGGGCCACGGCCGCGGCCGGGCGCCGGCGCCGCCGAAGCGGCGGCCTGCCGCGCGCGGCTGAAGGCGCAGTGCGCGGCAGGACGCGCGCGAGCTTTCAGTCAGTATCGTTAAACCGACCCCCATCCCCATCCTCATCCCCTTCGAGACCCCCACGAAATCACCACCCCAGTTGGGGATACACCACTCGATACCCGTCTATGTCCCCATCCAGGGGGATCAATCGGCCAGTGGGGCCCAGGCCACGCCGCTGGGGATGGGGTTCGGATAAACGATGCTCGTTCAGTCGGGCATGTCCTTCAACAGGAGGAAGGTAAAGAAATCTTCAACACACATACCCCAGGGACGATGTTTTCTTTTGGGGGGGGATCTTTTTGTTGACTATCTTTTACTTTTCGGCCACAAGTCCTCCTGTAGGAGGGCATGCCCGACCTACAGTCGGCCCGGATTAGTAGGTCGACCCTGCCAGCTCAAGGGTACCCTTGTGTCCTGTGCCTCGCGACGCGCGCCTTCTTACACTCCTAGGGCGATGTTGCCCTCGGAAGGGTCCTGTGTCCTCTCGCGTGTCCTGTCCGATCCAGGCCGACTGTAGCGCGAGCTGCACTGCGCCGTGGTGGCTCCGCGGGCGCTCGGGCGAGGGTCGCGTCACCGCGCGGGGCGGCGCGGGCGCGCTCGTCGGGCGGGCGGCGCGGGCGGCGGCCTGGCGCGCGCGGCGCCGGCCGCGCTCGGGCACGGCGCCGTCTTCGGGCGCCCGGGCGTGCGTCGGCGGGCTCAAGCATTAGGTCGGGCCTGTCCCCCTACAGGGAGATTTAAGGCGAAAAATGCAAATTTTGAAAAATGTTTTAGAGAGGCCCCAAAACATTCAAAGAATAGTCCCCAGACGATTTTCTAACTATTTTGAATATTCCCCCTGTAGAGGGGCAGGCCCGACTTAACTCAAGCAGTGGCGCAGCGTCCTGGCTTGCCCATAGGCCCACCAAATAATGTTCCCGAGAGCCTTTTTCGGGGATGGACAGACCTCCTACCCTGACACGTCGATTCGCGAACTGGCCGTTTTCGGTTCGCGAGAGGGCGTCGCGGCCGTCATTTTTGCGGGCCCAGGTCCGTCGGTTTCGGCACCAGGCTGTTTTCACTGAGGGGAGGTTTACTAAAGGGAGGTCTGTCCACCGCCGACTTGTGGTCTGCACGAACTGTTCCCAGGAACATTTCTGGCCGAGCTCTGTGTCGTTTTAGTACGTCGGGCTTGTGTTCTCAGAGCATCGTGCTTGTCCTGGCATCGCTCGGACGTGTGCATTTTTTCTCGGCGAGGGCCATCGAGGAGCAGCCTTGATCATTTGGCGAAACAACCACGCACGAAACCGAGCAAAAACACAGGGAATGGACGTCCGAGCGGTGGCCAGTTGTTCTTAGAACATGTTTGGGTTCCAAGAACATCTCGTGGTGGGCCTGCAGGAGTGCCGGGACGGTGTGCGTCCCTGCTCCACGGGCGACGGGCGGCCTGGGCGCGTGTTAGGGCGTGGCGTTCTCGCAGCGCTCGGGGAAACGTCGGCCACGCGCAGAGGGGGGGGAGTGGGAGGGGGGAGGCCTTCTTAGAAGCACCCCTGCTGCTTAGAAGGCGCGGGCCTCGTCTACAGACGTGAGGCCGGCGCCTTCTAAGAAGCAGCCTCTTTCTGAGAAGGCCTCCCCCCTCCCTCCATCCCCTTGTGCGCGCCGCCAAGTTAAGTAGGAGCTCGGTGCCAGCCGACGTTTCTTGGCGAGCGCGTCGTTGTCATGGGATGTTTGCAGCGGGAGTTCGCGTCAAATTTCAGATTTGTTCTCGTCCTTTTCATGATGGTCCCGTCAGGCCAACCCGAGCCCCCCGTACCCGAGTCTTACGTCTCCTCGAAACGTGGACTCCTGGAGGTCTCGAGCCCTCGTCCCCCGGGCACCGGCTTTTCATCATCCCGAGTGCTCGCTTTCTGACTGCCCCAGGGCTTGGCAAGGGACCCTATGCAGGCCCGAACCATGGCAAGAAGCCTTCCGTCGTGAATCTTCCCCCGTTCCAGGCCTCCTGAATGGTGCCCGAGGTAGATGGGTTTGGGGAGGATCGCGCCGCCTCGCCGATGCATCGGCGATGCGGCTCGATCCGTGGCCCGTTTGTTGCGCATCTCCATGTCTAAAGGGGACCAGGGACAAAACTAGATAGAGACAAATCCCAGGATCTTTCTATATTTTCAACATTAGGGATATTTTCGTCTTCCCCCCACTTCTTATATTTTTCCATATTTTTGGGGAGTGACGATTAGTTGTATCTCACCTTTGAACGTCGCCGATGCACCGGCGATGCGGCGCGAGCTTCCAGTCCCATCGTCTCGGTCACTGTTCGCGAGGCCTCCGACGACGCCGATGGGTCCGGGGTGCGAGCAGGCGCGAGGGTTTGGGTTTTGCGGCGGCGGCCGCCCTTGAATCTCTCTGGCGGCTGCCACGCTAGGCTCAAGTCAGGCTTGTCCCTCTAAAGGAGGAGTATTCGCAAATAGTTCATTGTCTGGGGACGGTTGTTGTTCTACTATCTTTTGTTCGTCGTGTGATCTATTGGGCATCTTCTTTGTGTTGCGTCCAAAGTCCACCTGTAGGAGGACCTCGGCATCGCTCGGACGTGTGTGCATTTTTCCTTCGGCGAGGACCGCCGAGGAGCACCTTTCGTCATTTGGCGAAGAAAAAAACATGCACGAAAACGAATCAAGCACAGGGAATGGACGTCCGAGCGATGGCCAGAGGACATGCCCGACCTGACACGGGGTCTCGCCGACGGCTGCCGCGCTGGGTCTTGGGGCGGGCGGGCGGCGGTGCGGCCGTCTTCGGGGCAGCGGGGCGGCCACGCCGCGGGCTCTGGAAACGTTCGCCCGGGTCCTCGTCACCAGCCTCCTTCGGGGAAGCGCGAGACTTACCAGCCTCGAACGTATTCCTATCCCTAAGATTGACACGCCAGAAGGCGATGACGATCTGAGGGATTCGCCCTCAAAAAATAAGGGAGTCCCTAAGATTGGCATCGTGATGAGGAGGTGCCCAGCGTAGGGATAAGGATATGTTCCAGGCTGGTAAAAGACTCGAGTGCGCCGAGACTTGGGTATGCCGACGTTTTGTGACGAGCGCGTCCTGGATTTCGACGGTCTGGCTTTTGTGGGGTGTTTGCCGTGGGAGCTCGCGTCAGACTTCAGGCTGGGTCTCGTCTTATCACGATGACAACGTCAGGCCACCTCGAGTCCTCCGAACCCGAGTCTTACGTCTCGCCGACTCTTCCTCGGGTGATGCTCGCGAAGACACCTACGGCGAACCACCGCCGCCATGCTGGGAACGCCCATGCGGCCAGAGTTTTATCGGAACCTGGAACATATACATTACCAGTGGCGTGCTGTTTTTCAATCTCTGGACTTTTGAGGGTCAGGGATGACGTCGGGGTGGTGTAGTGTATAGTTGTTCCCTCGTTTTCCTGGGGAAATGACGAACATGTATACACCAGCATCCCGTATACACCAGGATCCGCTTTCCTGTGCGAGTTTCAGTGCAGGGCCGGAAAAAGCGTCGGTGCATAGAGTTCGGTTCCTTACTTGAGCCAGAGTCCGGCCGAGCTGTTGGGCGACGTGTGCCCCAGGCCGTTTCGGAGCTCCTGATGGGAACACCCGGGAGAGGAAGAGCAAGGAGGACGCAAGGGAGGATCGGGCCGGACGAAAGGGGGGGAGGGCCGGACGAGAGGAAAATCAGCGACGAGAGCTGATTCTGGAAGCCCCCCTTTGCTGTCCCCCCCCCCCTTTCGCCCGGCCCGAGAGGACGAGGGAGGATGAGGACCTGCGCGGCGAGGAAGAGGAGGAGGGAGGAGGAGGCAGGACGACGACGATGAGGAGGGAGGAGGAGGGAGGAGGAGGAGGGAGGAGGAGGGAGGAGGAGGAGGACGACGACGAGGAGGAGGGAGGAGGAGGCAGGACGACGACGAGGAGGACCGGGAGGAGGAGGACGAGGAGGGCCTCGCTCACGGCGCGCCTGCGCGACCACGGCGGGCCTCGCGGCCCCGACCGGCCCGTCGGGGGAGCGGCGGGGCGGCTGCCGCCCCGCTCTCGCCACTCCCTGCGGGGCGGGGCGGGGCTGCCCTCCCCGCGCAGGCGATCGCGAGCACGGATCGAGGGGGCGTTCGGGTGCAGCTCCTGGGAGGTGAAGTTCTGACTTTGCCCTTTGCCCTGGTCCGAAATCCAGCTGAATCCGGCTCATTTGCCGCTCAATCCCGTGTTATCCCGCTCAGTTTGGCCTAATCCCGCTGAATCCGCGGGCGGCCTCATTTGGCGTAGTTGCCCCCTGCTGGGGCTCAATCCTCCTTCTTCTTTCCGACGAAGACCTCCCAGCAGTTGCCTCCGAGGGGGCGTGGATTAGCGACGGGTCCCGTTTCCATGGGAAGTCGCGGACTTCCGCCTCCGAGCGACGCGGCACCGGCCGCACCTTGGGGGGGGCACCTCCCCCCCGATCCCTGGATTGGGCGGCCGCGCGCCAGATCCATGGATCGCCAGTCCATGTCTGCGCGCCCCCAGTCTCTCGCGTCGCCTCGCGGGGTGGGGCGGGGCTGCCCTCCCCAGAAACACATACCCCGCCACCGTCGACAGGCTGCACGGACGTTGTTGTTAGGGGGCCACATGCGAACCCCACCCTACCCCTCAGAAATCGTGGGGGGTAGGGGTAGGGTTCACATGTGGCCCCCTAGTTGTAGCAGGCCTAACGGTTGACACCAGCGTCAACATCGGCGGTGTGCCTCCACCGAGGGAAAGAGATCCCGATCTCGGTGATGGTGGTGATATGCTGGCTGCCGACGCGACCGACATGTTACCACCCACACCGAAACCTAGGATCATCTTCCCCATGTGGAGGCAACCCCCTGTGTTGGTGTTGGTGCTCTTGTCCAGGCCTCCAATGTTGAACTCCTACTCCTGGAGGAAAGTACTTCTT